CACAAAAATGCTGACGCGTGGATGCCTATTGGTCCCGGTTGGTGCCACCAACCGGGACCAAAGGCCCTCCTGCCTGGGCTCAGCGCGCAGGCCACGTGGAGGCTCATCTGTCCCGGTTCTAGTTAGAACCGGGACTAAAGGGTCAGGGCATTAGTAACGACCCTTTAGTCCCGGTTCTGGAACCGGGACAAAAGGCCCTTATGAACCGGGACAATAGACCCGTTTTCTACTAGTGTAAATACATATCCGATCTCTGCATAATTAGGATGCACATAGCCAACAATACACACTCAAAGATCATCACACCGGCAAATAGCGAAGTCAAATAAGACCGAGGCAATGCCAAGGCCAAGAAAAAAAATTAGAAAAATAAAGCGATCAAAACAATGAACGATGATATACAACAATGACCATCGAACCGGTCATCTTTTGACAACTAAGGACTACGAAAAAGGGTTCTTCAAAAGCAATGCCTTCGGTAAGGAAACAATGCATAAGCACCGCCGTCGCCAGATCGACCACCGAAAGCTAGATCGTGAGCTTTCACCCTGAAGATCAAGTCCGAGCAACTCCTAGAAATGCCTTCAAAAGGGTAAAGACGCAAAAAAAAAACGCTGCCATTGCCAGATATAACAAACTAAGGTCAGACCTAGAGTCATCATCCTGGAGCTCGAGACCGGGTACTCGAGGAGCACCACCCAATCGAAGGCATCCAATGTTATCTCCTCCACTCGAGGGCTCAGCCGATACCGCGTCGGCGACGTGCTCCGCGTGGCGGGTTACCACAACGCCGCTCCACGGTTCACGTTCGTGCGCCACAAGAACGTGCTGGTCTCCATCGAATCTAACAAGACCGACGAGGTCGAGCTGCAGCACGCCGTGGAGCGGGCCTCGGACCTGCTTCGGCCGCATGGCGCGTCCGTGGCGGAGTACACCAGCCACGCATGCACCAAGCGCATCCCGGGGCACTACATCATCTACTGGGAGCTGCTGACCACCGGCAACGAGGCGGTGAGCAAGGAGACCCTCGACAGGTGCTGCCTGGAGATGGAGGAGGCCCTGAACGCGGTCTACAAGCAGAGCCGGGTGGCGGATGGGTCGGTCGGGCCGCTCGAGATCCTGTCCTCCGGCCCGGCACCTTCAAGGAGCTCATGTACGACGCCATCTCTTGCGGCGCGTCCATCAACCAGTACAAGGTGCCCCGTTGCGCCGCGCTCCCGCCCATCATTGAGCTGCTCGACTCGTGTGTCGTGTCTGCCCACTTCAGCCCTAGTTTGTCACACTGGACCCCAGCGCGGAGCCACGGCTAGAAGGAGGCAGCTGGTCGGGTCATGCTCGCCGATGTTTGGGGTGATTGACTTTGTTGGGTATGGGAGGTGCTTCCCGTGGCCTTGAACCTAAGGCACCATTGTATCTCGCTTGAGTGATGTGCCTTGATTATTGTTGACTGGATGTGTGATTTTCGCTTCCTTTTTTAACAAAATCGTGCTTTGCTTGATATTCCAATTTCAATTTTACTACTAATTCACATCTAGATGTGAAATAATTATCTCACATCTAATTATCAGACCGTCAGATATAACTTGTTAGATCTGTACGTTGTTAAGGTAGATGTGGACGAAGATGGAGTGGCTAGAGGTAACCAACTTCGGGTTAGAGCAAAAATCTCTGTTTATGAGCCTTTGATCCATGGTTTCTATCTGAAAAATTCTCAGGGTGATAAAGTTGGCACCTGGCTTAGTTTTCATTATGAGAAAAAACTGCACTTCTGCTTTGAGTGTGGAAGACTGGTGCATGTTGATGGACAGTGTGATCCTCCCATGGACTCAACGATGCAAGGGGGGAGGGCTGGCTGAGAGCCTCACCAGGAAGGAGTGCTGGTATAGAGATCTGAAGCTAAAGGAGGAAAAGGGAACAATAGTTACAACTTTGCAAGCTCGCAGTCAGCAAATAGTAATAGAGAGCAGCAAAGTCATGATAGGGTCAGAGACCTCCCGACAAAGCGCAACCTGCATGGTGAGTTCAGTCGTCCGGCAAACTCCCGCACTGGCATGGAGCGTAGGCCGGATAGAGGGGAGGTAAATAGTCCAAGTAAGACCGTTATAGAGGAGAGTGGATGGCAGAGAGAGACCTAAGGCATGAGCTTGAACGTAAGAAGGAAAGAGATCTCCGTGAACAGCTGAAAGAACAACAGAGGCAGAGGGAGTACGCTCGGGAGCAATATGATGAGAGCAGGTGCAGGGAACATGCCTTTGCATCCAGAGAGAAGGAGAAGGTATACAAGTCAAGCTCTTAGTATCCCATAGAAAGGATGAAAGGGTATTACGTCAGGAAGCATAGACAGGATCATGAAGCTTGTAGGGGGAGGGGTGAAAGCCCTCAAACCTCCCTCGCTACCAGGAAGAGGAGACCTAAGCAGATTTGGGTAGCTAAGGATGATAATGACGATCAGGTGATGCATGATACGTTCATTCGCGACACGAGGCAGAAGACTCTATTGTATTTGACCATATTTCTGAGAATTATGATAGAGCGGCGGACCCTGCCGGGGAGCAGGTGTAGGGGAGCGTAGTAATTTCAAAAAAATTCCTACGCACACGCAAGATCATGGTGATGCATAGCAACAAGAGGGGAGAGTGTTGTCAACGTACCCTCGTAGACCGTAAGCGGAAGCGTTATGGGAACACGGTTGATGTAGTCGTACGTCTTCACGATCCGAACGATCCAAATACCGAACGCACGGCACCTCCAATTTTAGCACACGTTCAGCTCGATGACGTCTCACGAACTCCGATCCAGCAGAGCTTCACGGAAGAGTTCCGTCAGCACGGCGACGTGATGACGGTGATGATGTTGCTTCTGATGCAGGGCTTCGCCTAAGCACCGTTACGATATGATCGAGGTGGATTATGGTGGAGGGGGGCACCGCACACGGCTTGAAACAATCAACTTGTGTGTCCATGAAGTGCCCCCCTCCCCACGTATATAAAGAAAGGGAGGGGAGGCCGACCGGCCTCTCTAGGCGCGCCAAAGGGGGGAGGAATCCTCCTCCTAGTAGGAGTAGGATTCCTCCTTTCCTGTCCTACTAAGATGGGGAAGGAAGGAGAGGGGGAGGAGAACAACAATCTACTAGGATTCCTCCTTTCCAGCCCAACAATCTACTAGGATGTTGCCTAGGTTGTATTCAGGAGGTCTAAATATTTTGCAATATGCGGACGATACTATTTTCTGTTTTGAAGATGACCTTGAGGGGGCTAGGAACCTCAAAATAATTCTATGTGTTTTTGAGCATTTGACCGGTCTGAAAATTAATTTTTTAAAAAGTGAAATTTTCTATTTCGGTAAAGCTTTGGAGAAACAAGCTGACTACGCCGGCATTTTTACTTGTGCTATTGGGGGCTTCTCTTTTAAGTATTTAGGTCTTCCCCTGCATTATAAAAAGCTTTGTAATGCTGACTGGAAGCCAGCGGAAGAAAAAGTAGAGAAAGGAGCTGCAGCGTGGCAAGGGGCTCTTTTATCTATGAGTGGTAGGCTTATCCATGCTGAAACTTGCTTGAGTAACATCATTAGTCATTTACTTAACTTTTTCCGTCTATCAAAGGGAGTAGGCAAAAGAATCGACTTCTTTCGAGCTCGGGTGCTGATTGTTTATCACTATAATTCAAAATGAGACAAAATTCCACTACCAAACGAAATATGACATTCGTTTCATTTCACAAATCCACACGGCGACTTTTGTTTTCTTACAGAAGACCTGGGGTGGCGCGTGAAAAACAAAAACGAAAAAGACCCGAGATGGGTCATGTGGCTGATGTGTGGCCTGCTCCCTCGGAGATCCCTCGCTCCACGACCGAAAATGCTACACCTACGTACAGCTGTTACGTGATCTACGTAAACTTCCATTCCATCTAACTAAGCACCCCTCCTGATTCTCAGGGTGGACCCCAGCCTCCACTAATGTCTAATCAAAAACAGCCAAATCACCCCATACGGAAGGTACGTGAAAACCTTTTCGTAGATATAGCATTACACACCGGCACCTGGCGCGCGCATTCCGCGATCGACGAGCACCGCGCGAACTTACACGTACGTGGCTTTTGTGGTTCCAGGACGACTTGGAACCTCGAAGACCGAAGACGTGGACCGTACGTCCTCTCCAAGCCCTCGACTGGGCTGTCCGTGTGTACGTGCTCCGTGGATATTTACCGGAGCTCTCTTGTCTCGTGCGACTCAACAGTGTTCCGTTCCATGCTGGTCGACCCAACATTGAACTCTCGACAGTGAGCTACTTCGCTGGTGCGCCCTGAATCAGTCGCCGGAGACCTGTGCTTGCGAGTCCCGGCGATGGAAACACTTGTGGCCTTGGGTTAACACACTTGCCGTGGAGTGCTTTTCTTGTAGTATATTATTTAATTTCACCGAAGAGAAAATTGGATATTTGCCGATTTGTTTTACCATTTTCACCATTTATAGGAGTTCAGAGCCAAACCCATCGAAAACCACTCGAACACCAGACTCACCACCTTAGCGGCCGACGGCCCGCGCGCGTGTGCTAGTGTTGTTTGCTGCCGCTGCTGATAGCAGAGAATGGCGAGCGCCGCCGAGCACCGCGTGCCGATGCCGGCTGATCCTCCCGCCGGCGACCGCAAGGCCGCGCATCCTGAGAAGCGGCTGGACCGCTTCGTGCACTCGGTCGCGCCGATGGAGAGGCTGGGAAACGCGCTGGGCATGTTTGCGCTCGCGTGGGCGACCATCGTCCTGCTCGGCGGCTACCCCACGCAGCTCCGCCGGCAACATTTCTTGATCACGACCATCGTAATTTTCATGGAAGGCGTGGGGTACGTAATCAAACTACCACATGTCGCACAAATTCCTCAATTACTTTGTTATTACTCCCTCCATTCTTTAAATATAAGTCTTCTTACAGATTTCAATATAAACTACATATGAAACAAAATAATGAATCTACGCTCTATACTTTGTCTATATACATCAGTATGTAGTACATATTAAAATGTCTAAAAAAGACTTATATTTAGAAATGGGGTAAGTACTTACACCCTTTATTTCTAAAAATAAAGTGTTTTTGCAGTTCATATCTTATATTTAGAAACAGAGTTAGTACTTAAAAGTTAAAACCATGAGAGGAACAAATTACTTACTTAATTTGTCCTAACAACCAACAAAAGTGACACAAAATAAGGCATAAATATAAGGCCGCCTTCACATACTATTTTCCTGTGGGTTTCACGTTACCCAGCGCGTTTCCCAGCCTCTCCATCGGCGCGGATTGATCACTTGTGGGGATCCATAGAGAGTCCATTTTATGAAATATCTGCTGAGAAAGCAAAAGAATAAAAAGGGAGACAGATGGTTTATCTATCATCAAATAGAGATGAATATTATATGATAGCAACAGGAAATTCTTTGCCCTTGAATCAAGGTATTCATGAAGAACAAGTTGTTCCAGCTAGATACCTGTCAAGAATTTTTGACTATTGCATGGGAACAAATTCATGGTAGAAGTATTTTTCCTTCCCAATATGTTTCTATTGCGGGCTCTCTCATTTCTTTTATTAGGCGCAATGATGCGAGTCGAGCTTGAATGAGTTCTAGTATGCAGCGCCAAGCAGTTCCACTTTCTCAGTCAAGAAATGCATTGTTGAAATTGGATTGGAAGGCCAAATAACTCTAGATTTCGAGGGTTTCCGTTATAGCCAAACACGAGGAACATCATTCCTACTGATAGTCATAAGATATTTTTATCAAGTAGTGGGAAGACTATAAGTATTCCTTTAGTTAACCACTGCCGCTCTATCAAAAATACTTGTATGTAACAAAAACATCGGGTTCCATGGGGTAAACCCA